TCTAGGATGTCTTAACTATTCTTGACTATTTGCAGTTCTATATAAATTTTATTAATTTGTCAAGGTACACGCACATGCGCATATGCACTCACACACAACCTTTTGGGATTTTAAATCTTTACAATATTGAATCTTCTAATTTATTAAATGTATATGTATATGTAGGTCTTCTCTAATTTCTCTCAATATTGTAATTTTCTCTGTAGAGGTCTTAAACGTCTTTTGTTGGACATATTGGTAGGTGTTGATATTTTCAGTACTAATGTAAATGATAATTTTTTAAATCTCATTTTCTAACTATTGCCAATATATAGGAATACAATTAATTTTTTCTGAAAAAATTTGTTATACTCTTTTATTAATTCTTATAATTTGTGTATATATTATTTTGGATTTCCTATACAAGCAATCATATCATCTGAGAATAAAGAATTTTCTTTCTTCCTTTCCAAATGTTATGCCTTTCATTCTTTTTTCTTGTTCTTTGCACTGGCTGGAGCCCTGGTGGTGCAGTGGTTAAGACCTTGGCTGCTAACCAAAAGTTTGGCAGTTCGAATCCACCAGCCAGTCCTTGGAAACCCTGTGGGGCAGTTCTACTCTGTTCTGTAGGGTCGCTATGCGTCAGAATCAACTTGATGGCAATGGGTTTGGTTTTTTTTATATACACTGGCTGGGACCTCTAGTACAATACTGATTAGAACAGGTAATAGTGGGCATCCTTGTCTCATTTCCAATCTCAATGGAAAAGCGCTCAATGTTTCACTATCAAGTATGTTTTTATAGATTTTTTAAATAGATATTCTTTATCCCATTGAGGAAATTTCTTTCTAGTCCTAGTTCAGTGTTTTATGATGAATGCATATTGAATTTCATCAAGTGCTTTTTCTACATCTATTATACAGGAAACCCTGGTGGTATAGTGGTTAAGAGCTATAGCTGGTAACCAAGAGGTGGCTTGAATCCACCAGCTGCTCCTTGGAAACTCTATGAGGCAGTTCTCCTCTGTCCTGTAGGGTCGCTATGAGTAGGAATCGACTCAACAGCAACGGGTTTGATATTTTTTGGTTTTATTGTGAATACAAGATTTTTCTTATTTAATCTGTTAATGTGGTGAATTACATTAACTTATTTTCTAATATTAACCTAACTTGCCTTCCTGGGATAAACCCAACTTTATCATGAATTATTATTCCTTTTTCTGGACAGTGCTGGATTTGCTTGGCTAATTTTTTTTCTTTTTTTTAGTATTTTTGCATCTTTGTTCATGAATGAAACTGGCCTGTTATCTTTTTTTTTTCTTTTCTTGTAATGTCCTTGTCAGGTTTTGATATCAGAGTTTTCCTAATGAATAATGTACCTCTTTTTCTGTTCTCTGAAAGAGTTTTTGTAAGATTGCAGTTATTTCTTCTCAAATATTTTAGGAGAACTCATTCTTGAAGCATTCTGATTCTGGACTTTTCTTTGGGGAAAGGATTCCAATTACTGATTCAGTTTCCTTAATATTTATGAGAGAAGTCAAGGTTTTTATTTCTTCTTGTATCAAATTTTATGTATTTTTTTAAGAAATTTTTTTAAGAAATTTTTCCATTTAATTCACATTTTTACATAAAGTTATCCATCATGCCTTCTTATTAATTTTTAATAATAATGTTCCATTTCACTTTCATGATATTGGTTATCAATGCTTTCTTGCTTTTCCTTGATCACCCTCAATAGAAGTTTATTCATTGTATTAGACTTTTCAAAGAATTAACTTTTAGCTTTGTTGGTCTACTTTATTGTATTCTTTGTAGAGAAATAATAAATACATGTATTTCGCAATTTAGAGGCAGTAAAATATAGAGTACTATATTAGAATCAGAAAATTTGTATTCAGACCTTGGCTTTATCATTTGCCAACTGTATCTGAGACTCAGTTTTTTCATCTCTAAAATGAGGTAAAATATAAATTTCAGCTACTTCATAAACACAAAAGCCTAACGAATGTAAAGTAGTTATATTAGCACATGTCTCGGTTCTATACTTCAACTACAGTAGATAGTCTATAAGTGATTTTTTTTTTCTCATTCAGAAATTTATACATACAATGTTTTGTGACATTGGTTGCAGTCCTCACAATGTGACAGCACACTCCCCCTTTCCACCCTGGGTTCTCCGTGTCCATTCAGTCAGTTCCTATCCCTTCCTGCCTTCTCATCCTGCTTTTGGACAGGAGCTGCCCATTTGTCTTATATATCTGATTGAACTAAGAAGCACATTGCTCACATGTATTATTTTTGTTTTATAGTTCTGTCTCATCTTTGTCTGAAGAGTGGGTTTCGGGAATGTTTTCAATTCTAGGTTAACAGAGCATCCAAGGACCATAGTTTTGGGGGTTCCTCCAGTCTCTGTCAGACCATTAAGTCTAATCTTTTTACATGAATTTGAATTCTGTTCTACATTTTTCTCTTGCTCTGTCCAGGACTCTCTGTTTTGTTCCCTGTCAGGGTGGTCACTGGTGGTAGCCAGGCACCATCTAGTTTTTCTGGTCTCAGGCTGGTGGAGTCTCTGGTTCATTTGGTCCTTTAGTCCTTTGGCTAGTATTTTTCCTTGTGTCTTTAGTTTTCTTCATTCTCCTTTGCTCCAAGTGGGATGGAACCACTTGGAGCAAAGGAGAATGAAGAAATAGATGTATCTTTGATGGCTGCTCGCAAGCTTTTAAGACCCCAGACACTACTCACCAAAGTGGGATATAGAACATTTTCTTTATAAACTATGTTATGCCAGTTGACCTAGATGTCCCCTGAAACTATGGTACCCAGGCCCCTATAAGTGGTTCTTGAATAGTAAGAACAGTTAACTTTTATTAGGTGCTTTATATGTGCCTGGCTCTATTCTTGATGCTTTATCTGGTTTAACACAGCCTGGCAACTGTCCTATGAGATAAGTAATTACTGTCTCCAAGTTACATACGAGAAAACTGATGCTCAGAGAGACGGAATACTATTAATTTTTAGATTCACGTGATAAAATCTGATTGATTAATATACAGAAGTCACAGGTGGAGGACTTTAGAGTTATAATCCCCACTAATTCATTTGAAAATCTGTGAACCCAGGGAATTCTGTTTTACATGAGGACAAAGTAAATCCTAAGTATTTTGGTCTGTGATCCCAGCCTAGTATATACATTCACCAGTTATGATAGTCCTTAGAATATTATTCATTTATTTGCTCAGTAAATATTGATTAAGCCCTGGTGGCACAGTGGTTAAGAGCTTGGCTGCTAACCAAAAGGTTGGCAGTTCAAATCCACCAGCCACTCCTCGGAAACCCTATGGAGCAATTCTACTGTGTCCCATAGGGTCGCTATGAGTTGAAATCAACTTGACGGCAATGGGTTTAGTTTGTTTGTTTTTAAAGCACTTACTGTCTGGCACTTTAATAGGCTTTGGGTATTGCAGAGTGAACAAAACACATGGTCCCTGCTCTCTTGGAATATAGAATGGAGAAGAGGGATGATAAACAAGTAGATAAATAAATGTTTAATTATAAATTGTGATAAGGACTATGAAGGAAATTAATGTGATGTAATATTGAGAGTAAGGAGACCTCTTCAGATTAACTAATTATGAAAGTTTTCTCTGACAAAGTGACATTTAAGCCAAGATCTGAAGAATAGACAGGAGCCAACCATGCATTGAGGAGGGAAAAGCAGAAGCATTCCTGGCAGAGGGAATAATGAGAAGGCATTTAGTGCATTGGAAATTTAAATAAAAATAGATTTCTAAATAGAAATCAGCATGACAGGAGTTCAGTGGAAGACAGAGGAATGAAAGATGGCTTTAAAGAGGTAGACAAGGACCAGATCATGTAAGGCCAGGTAAACAGCTCAGATATGTGCCCAAATTATGGGAATCCACTGAAAGATTTCAAATAGTGGAGTACGGTGGTACAATTTATGTTTTTAAAAGAACTCTTTGGTTCTTCCGGCCAGACTGCGGTTGTCAGACCTCATTGTCCCCACCCCTTCGGCCCCCAAGAAACTCCTCACACGCACACACACACACACACACACACACACACACACACACACACAGAAAAGAACACTTTGGCTACAGTGTAGAGAATAGATTAGAAGGGAGCAAAAATGGAAGTGGCAGGACCAGTGCTAGAGATAATGATCTAGACCAGATTGGTGGCAAAAACAACACAAGTGAATGGATGCAAGATATGTTGTAGAAGTGGAGTGACAGCATGAGCTGAATAACTGGAATTGGCTCATGATAGAAAAGGAAGACTCGATAACTCTCAAGTTACTGGCCCAAACAGAAGGTTCGATGTTGGCATCATTTACTGAAAGCAATAAGACATAAAGAAAAACAATTTCAGAGGGATAGACAGAATCAAGGAGTTTTATTTTGGCGGTTATGACATAAAGATGGTATTTAAAATCATGAGAATAAATATAGGGACAGAATGATGTGCTTTCAAGGCCTGATATAGTCCAAGAATATCTAGAGGTTGAGTAGTATTAGAAGAGTCTACAAAGGAGACCAAGAAGGAAGAGCAGAGAGGTAAGTAAAATCCAGGAGAGTTTGGTATTATAGACTCCAAGAGAGGAGGGCTTTCTAAGATGGACAGAGTGAATGCTACTGAGAGGTCAGTTGTCCACTGGATGTATATGGGCAATGGGGAGGTCACTAGTGCCGTTGGCAAAAAGTTTTACTGGAGTAGTGGGGTGAAAGCCAGCATGGAGTAGATTGAAAAAAGGATAGAAAATGCTTAGACCATGTGTGTATATAAACTCTTAAGACACTTCCCTTGTCTGGCTTCCTAGACTTTGGCAAACCTTACTAACACATGGCAGCACCAGAGAAGCAATCAGCCTTGTGACACTGGTATTTGTCAGCTTTTGGGGACTGTACTTCTTCCTGTGAAAGCTGCTTTTTCTGGCTCACATTTACATTCATTTCACGTTTTTTTTTTTTTTTATCGTTCCTATTTATTCTCTATCTTTAGATAAAAATTGAACTAAAGCAGGCCCAGCAGAAGTTATTAGATAGTGCAAAGATGTGCTCTTCTCTCACGGCAGAATGGACGCACTGTCAGCAGAAAATCAAGGAACTGGAGCTGGAAATACTTAAACAGGCTCAGAGCATTAAATCACAGAACAACCTACAGGAAAAGCTGGCTCAGGAGAAGTCTAAAGTTGCTGATGCAGAGGAAAAGGTAATTATACCCATATAAGCTTATGTGTATCAAATAGAACATACTGGACATCACTACTGAAATCCTGTTTCCCTGAGGATTTTAAGAAGCAGATATGGCACAAACTTGATAGAATTATAGGTTCTTCTCTTTACTCTCCCCATGCTTTCCTCTCTTTTCACTTCACTTACTCCTACAAATCCAGTAAATCTTGAGTGTTTTTAAATATTGCATGAACTTAAAAATAAGTTTCATTAAAGCAAAACATGAACTTAAAGAGGAGCCCTGGTGGCGCAGCGGCTAAGAGCTAGGCTGCTAACCAAAAGGTCAGCAGTTTGAATCCACCACCTACTCCTTGGAAACCCCATGAGGCAGTTCTACTCTGTCCTATAGGGTTACTATGAGTCGGAATCGACTCGACCGCAACGGGTTTGGGTTTTTTTTTTTTTTTTTTAATGAACTTAAAGAACTGGCTGAGACCATATCACTTTTGTTCTATACTTTCAATTTTCAAAGGACTTATTCTCCTGTCATTTAGTTGGCTGTTTATATAATTCTTATTTTGTAGTTTTTTTAGAGAGATTTGTGTTGTGAAATAAACCATTTTGAAATATTGTCCCTGCATTTTAGGTTGCCTAACACCAGGTGGCAGTAGTATGCAACAGTTGCACAATTTTATCAGCTGCTTTGTCTGAGAGTCAAACCTTAGAGAAAAAATAAATCCTTTCATCAAAACATATAAAGCAAACATTAGAAAGTAGATGACAGCAACCTGAGTAATCTCAAAAGCCTAAGGTTGAGCTATAGAATCCAGCACAAAAGAGCTCACTTTGTGATTCCATTTATATGAAGTTCAAGAATAAATAAAACTAAGCTATGGTTATAGGATAGTGGTTGCCTTTGTGAGGGGTATTCACTGGGAGGGAGCCTTCTGTCCTGCTGAGGTATTCTCTGTCTTGGTCTGGAAGGTGTTTATACAGGTAAAACTTCATTGAGTTGTATACTTGAGATACATGCACTTTGCTGTATATATGTTACTACTCCATAAAAAAGTAATTGGCAAAAGTGGTTTTAAAAAAAGGTAAAATTGGTAGAGATTGAAAAAATTTTTAAATTTAGACAGTGCTAAATATTGGCAAGGATTTGGAGCAGCAAGAACTCTTACACACTGATAAATTAGTATAAACACTTTGGAAAGCAATTTGGCATTATCTAGTTAAGTTGAAGATGTATATACTGTACAACCCAATACTTCTACTACTATGCATAAACACTAGAGAAACTATTTTACTGCATATATGTATCAGGAGACAGGAGTACAAGTATATTCATAGCAGCATTGTTCCAAGAAGCAGAAAACTAGAAATAACCCAAATGTCTACTGGCAAGAGAATGGATAAATAATTGTTGTATATTTATAGAACAATGAAAATGAATGAACTACAGGTGTGTGCTGTAATTCAGTATAATGTTGAGTAAAAAAACAATTGATCAAAAACACGGTATGATTCCATTGATACAAAGATTAAAATAGTCTAAAATAAAAACCATGCCATTTGTTGTTCTTGTTGGGTGCCATTGAGTTGATTCTGACTCATAATGACCCTACAGGACAGAGTGAAACTGCCCCATAGGGTTTCCAAGGAGCAGCTGGTGGATTCGAACTGCCGACCTTTTGGTTAACAGCCATAGCTCTTAACCACTGTGCCACCAGGGCTCCAATGCCATTTAGAGATATATATTATTAAAAGAAAAATCAAGAAAATTATTAATATAGTATTTAAGATATTAGTTTCCTCTGGTGGAAAGGGGAGAAGATAATCAAAGAAGGTCACAGAGTGGACTTTGAAGATATTAGAAATGTTCTCTTTCTTAAATTGGATGATGGGCTCAAAAGTTGGCATATGCGCTTGACAGAAAAGCCAATGGAGTAATACTTTCATCTGTAGAATTAAGACTGAATATCTTTAAGTAAGAACCCTCCCTAGGCAGAACTAAATAGGTCAGCTCCAAAAAACTTGAGCTGGCTTCAGATGCCTGGCCATTGTCCTTGAATCATCCTGCATCTTCACTTACAGTGTGTGGAGCTCTGCAGGGGCCTAGGTGCCAGGGCTTGGAGTTGATGCAGAAAACCTTTCCCCATTCTCTAACCAAAACCAAACCCGTTACCATCAAATCGATTCCAACTCATAGCAACCCTGTAGGACAGATCAGAACTGCCCCATAGGATTTCCAAGGCTGTAAATCTTTATGGAGGCAGACTACCACAGCTTTCTCTAGTGGAATGGCTGGTGGGTTCAAAGCCACGTGCTTTAACTTACTTAAAAACCAAAACCAAACCTGTTGCCATTGAGTGGATTCTGACTCATGGTGACCCTGTAGGACAGAGTAGAACTGCCCCATAGGGTTTCCAAGGCTGGTGGATTCAAACTGCCAACTTATTGGTTAGCAGCTGAGCTTTTAACCAGTGTGCCACCAGGGCTCCTTAACTTGCTTATAGATGCATAAATAAATCTCTGGAAAGGTACACAAGGAACTAATAACAGTGGTTACCTATTCAGTGGGGGAAAACTGGAAGGAAGGGAGGATGGGAATAGGAAGGAGACTTTTCACTATATAGCTACTTTTATACACACACACACATATTTTAAACTATGTGAATGTATTACATATTGCAAAAATTAAGTAGTTTATTTTAAATTTAAAATAAATATAGCCATGCTCTTTACTAAAATCAGATTCCTTCAGGAAAACAATGCCATTTATAATAGCCCCTAAAAAAATAAAATACTTAGGAATAAATCTCACCAGGCATATAAAAGACCTATACAAAGAAAACTACAAAACATTACTGCAAGAAACTCAATGGGATCTACATAAATGGAAAAACATACCATGCTCATGGATAGGTAGACTCAACATTGTGAAAATGACATTCTTCCCAAAGCAATTTACAAATACAATGCAATCCTGATCCCAATAGCAACAACATTCTTTAAAGAGATGGAAAAACTAATCATTAACTTTTTATGGAAAGGGAAGAAGCCCCAGATAAGTAAAGCACTATTGAGGAAGAAGAATAAAGTAGAGGAGGACTCACACTACCTGACCTCAGAACCTACTATACAGCTACTGTAGTCAAAACAGCCTGGTACTGGTACAACGACAGATACATTGACCAATGGAACAGATTTCAGAACCCAGATGTAAATCCATCCACCTACAGTCAAATGATCTTCAACAAGGGCCCAAAGTCCATCAAATGGGGAAAAGACAGTCTTTTTAAAAAACAATGCTGGCAAAACTGGATATCCATCTGCAAAAAAATGAAACAGGACCCATACCTCACACCATATACAAAAACTAATTCAAAATAGATCAAAGACCTAAATATAAAGCCAAAAACTCTAAAGTTCATAAAAGAAAAAATAGGATCAACACTAGAGGCCCTAATACATGGCATTAACAGGATACAAACCATATCCAACAACGCATAAACTCCAGAAGATAAGCTAGATAACTGGGATCTTCTAAAAATTAAACACGTATGCTCATCAAAAGACTTCACCGAAAGAGTAAAAGTGAACCTACAGACTGGGAAAAAAAATCTGGACACTAAAAGTCAGACAAAGGTCTAATCTCTAAAATCTACAAGAAAATCCAACACCTCTACAACAAAAAGGCAAATAATCCAATTAAAAAATGGGTAAAGGAAATGAACAGACACTTCACCAAAGAAGACATTCAACAGCCAACAGACACATGAGGAAATGCTTTCAATCACTAGCCATTAAAGAAATGCAAATCAAAACCGCAATGAGATACCATCTCACCCAGCATTACTGGCACAAATCAAAAAAACTGGAAATAACAAATGTTGGAGAAGCTGTGGGGAGATCGGAACTCTTATGCACTGCTGGTGGGAATGCTAAATGATACAGATATGGCTCTTCCTTAGAAAGCTAGAAATAGAAATACCGTATAATCCAGCAATCCCACTCCTAGGAATATATCCTAGAGAAATAAGAGCCATCACACGAATAGACATATGCACCCTTTTGTTCATTACAGCATTGTTCACAATAGCAAAAAGATGGAAACAACCTAGATGCCAATCAACAGATGAATGGATAAGCAAACTATGGTACATACACACAATGGAGTATTATGCAACGATAAAGAACAATGAATCTGTGAAGCATCTCATAACATGGATGAAACTGGAGGACATTCTGCTGAGTGAAATAAGTCAATCACAAAAGGACAAATATTGTATGAGACCACTACTGTAAAAACTCATGAAAAGGTTTACATAAAAATAGAAACAATCTTCGATGGTTACGAGGGATGGGGGGGTGGGGTGAATACGAAATAAACAATAGATAAATGGTAACTTTGGTGAAGGGTAAGACAGTACACAATACTGGGGAAGCCAGCAGAACTTGTACAAGGAAAGGTCATGGAAGCTCCATAGACACATCCAAACTCGCTGAGGGATCTAATTGCTGGGCGGAGGGCTCTGGGGAACATGGTCTCAGGGAACATCTAGCTGAATTGGCATAACATAGTTTAAAAAGAAAATGCTCAACATTCTATCTTGGTGAGTAGCGTCTGGGGTCTTAAACGCCTGTAAGCAGCCATCTAATATACTCCACTGGTCTCACCCCTTTGGGAGCAAGGGAGAATGAAGAAAACAAGATACAAGGGAAGGATTAGTCCAAAGGACTAATGGACCACAACTACCGTGGCCTCTGCCAGACTGAGTCCAGTACAACTAGATGGTGCCAGGCTACCACTACTGACTGCTCTGACTGGGATCACAACAGAGGCTCCTGGACAGAGCTGGAGAAAAATGTAGAACACAATTCTCACAAAAAAAAGACCAGATTTACTGGCCTGACAGAGACTGGAGAAACCCCAAGAGTATGGCCCCTGGACACCCTTTTAGCTCAGTAATGAAGTCACTTCTGAGGTTCACCATTCAGCCAAAGATTAGACAGCCCCATAAAACAAGACAAGAGTAATGGGGCACAGCAGCCCAGGGACAAGGACTAGAAGGCCAGATGGGACAGGAAAGCTGGTAATAGGGAACCCGTGGTCGAGAAGGGAGAGTGTTGACATGTCATGGGGTTGTTAACCAGTGTCATAAAACAATATGTGTACTGTTTAATGAGAAACTATTTGTTCTGTAAACCTTCATCTAAAGTACAATAAAAAAATTTAAAAAAGGAAAAAATATCAGATTTCTGTGTTAGCACTGTTATGTTTGATGTTTGTAGGGTATTTCTCTAATTGGAGAAAAGGTCACACTCTTCTTAATGTTTTTCTCATAAACTTTTTTTCATTCAAGATTTTGGATCTGAAGCAGAAATTAGAACATGCTCAGAAGGTCTGTCTCACAGACACTTGTATTTTGGGGAAGAAGCAACTAGAGGAAAAAATAAAAGAAGCAATGGAAAATGAAGCTAAAGTAAAGCAACAGTATCAGGAAGAACAACAGAAGAGGTAAGAGGAGCAAAGATCTTAGTTTCCTGTGAGTTAAACGATGATTGAGTTCCCCAGCAGTGTAAACTTAGTAATGTTATATTTCCTTTCTGTCTCCACTGAGAAAACTCAGTCACACAACTTTTTAAATATATACAGCACTTAACCACGCTGTATCCTATTTGTTCATTTTCTTATTTCCCTCTCACACTGAAGTGGGATCCTTAAGGGCAAAGATTATTTCTTCTTGTTCTGGCACACAACAGATGCACCAGTAAATTTTCTTGAATGACTGGATTGTCTGTGAAAAATGGTACTCTTGGGTTTGCTTTTCTAGCTCTCTAATATAATTGGCATAAAATTCAGACTAGAATAAAATTATTATTTTGTGTTTATCGGCTGATTTTCTTCAAAGAAGTTCCAAGTACTTTACAGGCGTCTTAATTATCATCAACCTGCTACCAATAGTTCCTGTTACTGCTGTCATATTTTTTTTCTACAGTTATTAGGATTATTATTAGGATTCTTATTAATGGATCTTGTTGGATGCCCTAAACTTCAGTAACTTACGCTTCTTATTTCTATGGAGCCCAGAGTGATTCACATGTATTTTAAGAAAAATACGGTTTTAGCCACTAAAAAGATACGCAGATGTTCGCATGTACTGTGTAGCTCAGAAATTTTCTTTCAGCTGTAGCTGAAAGCTCTATCATAGAGTCTGTAAATAGCATACGTACTCAGTATATATTAAATGAATAAATGGTCAAGTAAATGAGTGAATAATGAACTCACTTAGTGAGGCTGTGGGATGCAGTGGAAAATACTTGTCTCACTGCCACTTCTAGCAGGATGGCAGACTATGCTCTGCTCCTGTTATAATGCAACTAGATCCTGAATTGACTACTAGAATACCTTTTACAGCATCGCTCACAAGAAAGCAAGAGAAAAGCCTAGAGCAAACATACAGTGAACTAAAATGAAAATAATAAACAGTGAACAAATTTCCAAGTCAAGTGGCAAATAACAATATCAGCCTTGGGCTCAGGAGAGGAAGCTGGGAGCTTGCCACACAAGGGAGGATACCTGATCCTCAGACTCTGCTATTAAACCAAGAACCTTGAAGGGGCTAAAATGTTCCCCAGTAGGCAGCCCCCTGGCTGCCCAACGGAGAAAATCTAAATTATCTCTGGAAGAAAGCCATCTTAATTTAGATATTAAGGATTTCCATATATTAAATTTAATAAAATATAAGCTTGCAATCAAAAATCACCAAACAACACAAGGAACCTGGGTACCATGAATGAAAGTCAGCAGAAACAACAAACAACATATTCATAACCCTCAAGAACTTCAGCAATTAGAATTATCAAACAGATTGTAAAATAACTGACGTTTTTACAGAAATAAAATATGTAATTAATGAATTGGACAAGGAAAAAAGCTATTTGACTTTTCTGAATCTTTGTTTCCTTACCTCTAATGCGAGACTAGTAATACCAATTTCATCCATCTTTTGTGAAGATTTGCTAAGAAGAAGTAATTTTTAAACTGTAACTGTAGGAAAATGAAATATGTAGGGAAATTTTTTTCCACAAAAAGGGATTATTGTTTTGTAACCTGGAGGAAAGCAACCCCAATTTAGATAGTTAAGTTGTAACCTACTTTTTTCACATAAAATATTATGATTGTTTTTACCTGCCATTAAAAATTCTACTAGTGGCAATTATATATATGGATAGCAGTTGTTGGAAAGAACTTAAGGACCTCTGATTAAGTCTAGTAAATGAACTTAGCCAGATTACTTCATCTCTCTGAGTCTCAGTTTCATCATCTGTATAATGGGAATAATAATAATATTTAACTTAAAAGGCTGTTGGCAGAAATAAATGAGATACAGTGTGCAAAACTTCATGTATAATTACCCAATAAATGGTAGCCCATATGATGATGATGACGATAATGATGGATGGACTTCGAGGCAGAGTCTTTCTTCAGGTACTGATGCTAATTTAGAGGGAAAGAGGAGTTGTATCTTGAGGTTGGAGGTTTTGCTCATGAGAACATCCTGACAGAGGGCATAGTGTGTTGGCATATTAACGGGCATGCCCTAGGGCCACCATCTTCCTATGTCTTTGTTTGGCCTGTGAGGGCAAGGAACACTGTTCTGTTGGTCTTGAGTCAAGACGATGGGAGTAGAGGGCAGCTCTGGGCACCTGGATGCTTTCTAGATTGGGCAAAAGCAAGCAAGGACTGGCCACAGCTCATTCATTTGCGTCCAGTAGGAGCTGCTCTCCTAACTGGCTCCATGCAAGAATGCACAATTAGGATTTGCTGAGGAGTATTCCATGGTATAGATGTACCAGTTTGTTTATCCATTTGCCTAACAAGGGGCATTTTGTTTCCAGTTTTTGGTGGATTACAAATAAAGCTGCTGGAAACATTTATAAAAAGAAAATTCTTCTAGACCGTTCTGATCAGGGCCGCAATAGATGGATCGTGATAGAAGGGGAGAAAAATGTGGAACAGAACCCAAATTCCTTGAAAGTCCAACTTAGTGGACCAGTTGAGACTAGAGGACTCCCCAAGACTATCCCCTGAGATACTCCATAAACCTTGAACTGAAACTACTCCCTGAGGTCACCTTTTAGCTGAATAACAGATTGGCTTATAAAATAGAGAATACTACCAGTGAGTGCTGCACACCTTTAAGAAATAATCTTTAAAAAATAATGGTCAACAGTTACTCTAAAGCAAAGATGAAAGGGTAAGGGGACAGGGAAACCAGATTACTGGAAGCAAAACATCCCGAGTGAAATTAATGAGAGTGTTACCACATTGTGAAAAATATAACCAATGTCTCTGAACAATTTGTGTAGTAATTGTTAAATGGAAACCTAATTTGCTGTGTAAACTTTCACTGAAAACACAATAAAATGTTATTTTTTTAAAAATTCTTCTAGAACATTAATAGTATATCATAATTTAATCAGTTCTTTATTGTAGGACATTTAGATTGTTCCCATTTTCTTGCTTTAAAAAAAAAAGGCATAGTATATGTACTTGTCGCTATATTTCTGTAGAAATCTTTTATTGTTTTCTTGGGATAAATTCTAGGAAGTATAATTGTTGTCATTGTTAGGTACTGTCGAGTCGGTTCCGACTCTTAGTGACTGCTGTGTACAACAGAATGAAACACTGCCCAGTCCTGCACCATCCTCATAACTGTTACTATGTTTGAGCCCATTGTTGCAGCCACTGTGTCAATACATTTTGTTGAGGGTCTTCCTCTTTTTCACTGACTCTGTACTTTACCAAGCATGTCCTTCTCCAGGGACTGGTCCCTCCTGATAAAATGTCCAAAGTATGTGAGACAAACGAAGTGTTTCCATCCTGACTTCTAAGGAGCATTCTGGCTCTACTTCTTCCAAGACAGATTTGTTCGTTCTTCTGACAGTCCATGGTATGTTCAATATTCTTCGCCAACACTGTAATTCAAAGGCATCAGTTCTTCTTCTGTCTTCCTTATTCATTGTTCAACTTTCACTTGCATATGAGGTGATTGAAAATACCATGGTTACAATTATAACTGCTCAAATATTAAAGAGCTATATAAAAGAAAGTGTCCCTCAGAATTCTACCTTTCAGCAATAACCACCACTTTTAGGTGGTTGATACATACAGTCAGTTCTCATTATGCATAGTAGTTATATTCTATAAATCACTGTGAACACTGAATTAATGAATACTGAGCCACTGTCCATAGAGGAAATACAGGGTTAAGTTCCTGTGAGCCTCTGGTCACATTTTCATCAACTGATTAATACATAACCTTGTTTTATGTGTGTTTCTGTTTAAAGATACCTTATTTAATATATATATTTTTACAAATAATTAATTATAGGCAGTATTTTGTTGTAATAAAACACTAGCCAAGAAAGTTTTAACATTTTCCTGACCTGGGTAACGTGTCCATAAATTCCTTTGACTTTCAGTCTCACAACAATGCTGCCCACTACACTTTTTTTTATCAGTTGTCACCCCATGAATCCACAAATTTAGTCACTTTTCCATCTTTTCCATAGCTTAACAGACACCGTAGATATTACTTCAACCCTAGCCAGAGCTGCCCCATGTACAGATTGGTGAATTTCATCTTCCTTTTTCTGAATGTACTGTATTGTTGATTCATTAACATTGAATTCACGGCCAATAGCCCTATAACTCATTCCTGAACAAAGCTTATCTCACACAACGTATTTTCTCTGTAAGGCATATCGCAGCCTTTTTGCACTTAGGAACACTTGACAGCACTTGGGAACCATTTTCAACAGTGAAATCACAAAAATGCTAGAACATGTGACACTAAATAGACCACGACAAGGACATTTGTTTACATTATGAGAGCTGAAACAAGAAAGCAGAGTTGCCTCATTGGACCTCAGCTGGGAACGTGAACATCAGGCTGCTCAATTTTTTTACTACTCTGTGAATGACTGCAAAAGTATAACGAATATTGATTTTTTTTCTTCCAAATTCTTCCAAGACTCTCAAAAATCTTCATTTTACTATCTCATGGCTATTATATTTTAACATACTTCTGATATTGTTGTTGTTAGTTGATGTCTAGTTGATTCCTACTCATGGCATCCCCATAAGTGCAGGGTAGAACTGCTCCATAGGGCTTTCAAGGCTGTGACCTTTTGGAAGCAGATCACGAGGCCTCTCTTCCAAGGTACCTCTGGATGGGTTTGAATCACCAGCTTTTTGGCTAGAAGTCAATGCTTAACTGTTTGCACCACCCAGGAACTCCACAAATATTGATTTGAGGGTTGCAAATAAATTTTAGTGAGTAGGCACATTCACAAATACAAAATCTGTGAATAATGAGGGTCAACTATTTCTCAGATGTTTTCTGTGCATACACATACATCTTTTATTAATCTTTTTTAAAACAAAAATTCAATTATTTTAGATATATTGCTTTAGAATTTGTATTTTTCATCTAACAATATATCATGGAC